TAGGTTATTTTTTTATGTTGTGATGTTAAAATAGGATCCAAATTCCTCCCATTTTAAGGCCCACCGCAACGTGACGTAAGAGTATGGTTTCCCAGCCCAAAAATTATTTTGACAGCCGTATATCAACATGTCTCCATAGTAACATGTATAATCATAGCAACAAGACACGACAAGTGTAAAGCAATTGGGATTAAAAGATCTGTTCAGCCCGCTGTAATCATCAATCATTATCAAATGTAACCAATAATGAGTTTTACAAGTTTAAAATGTTTTTAAAACAGTGCATGTATGTAATTACAGTGATTTTTCCATCATCATCACAGCCGCATGTCTGTACAATTACAAAAGAAGATGCCTTCAATCCTGGTTTGTGGACATTAAATCAGGTTTATTTTGTACATTAACATAGCGGATATCCATACAGCAGTGGATATTAATGTGTACCCTGTCACATTTGCCGCTCAAAAACAGTGCAAAGTTAAACGAGTATGCTGTGTGTATGTCCGCTGTGTGTGCATGAACTTTGTAACGACATTAGCCCCTTTCACACATACAGACCTTTCCGGAAAATTGCCGGCAAAGGTTGTTTGTGTGAACAGGTCCTTTTTCGAAAATACCGGTAAATTCGTTCTGGCTATTTTCCGGAAAGAGAAGTTGTAACATTTCCGGCAATTTGCCGGAATGCTGCGCTGTGTGAATGCAGATGGAAGATTGCCGTAATAAGCGCGTGCACGTCTAGAACGTGCTGACGTGAGACGTCTGCTTTAGCCAATCACAACAGTCACACGCTTTTACGTCCGTGCGGTTTGTGAGAATAAAAGCCTTTGAATATTTTTCCAGACACATTTAGCTGCTAGAAGTTAGTCAGATCACGTTTATATGTTCTTCTTAATGCCAACTGTGTAAATAATCATCGATGAGATGCTTATGATAAGCCGTTGTTTGTTTACCTTCAAGCTTTGCGTGTGCCTGTGAAACAGCCTGTGAGCGCCTGCACATATTATGAACATCTCGACATGCGAAAGTGATCCTGCGAAAGTTGTTCACAATATTGATCATCCACAGAATTTGTAATTTAGTCAAATGTTTACAAATACAAGCGCAGCCGATTAAAGCTCATTTGTGGTGAATGATGTCAGAATTTACCGGTATTTTGGAATGGATGTGTGAATGCTCTTTTCCAGAAAATTTCCGTAACGTCCTCGCCTGTGTGAACAGCGCTTTTTTGAATATACCGGTAAAGTCGTTCTGGAAATTTTCCAGATATTTACCGGTATCACTGTGTGAAAGGGGCTATTGTGTGTGACTCATCGTTGCAGAAAGGCTTGAATAAACTCCACAACAAATACATCATTGGGAAAGTTCTTACTGTAGTATTTCTCACAAACGTTACATGAGATCTACTTCATGTCTGTCACTGTGCTGTTTATCTGACAGCAGGCAGAGATTGAGGCACACTCTGAGAACTAGCATTAAAGACAACAAAAACAGCTACATTGTGTTCAGAGCAGAGAATTCCAATATTCAGAAAGGTATAATAAATAATCTGATGAGTGTTTTGAGCTGAAACTTTACAGACACAAAAGACTTATCTTAAATCTTGAAAAAGGGGTAAAAAAAAAAAGTGACCTTTAAAGAATATTCTAGTCACAATCGTAAATAAGTGCTAATATTTCAGTTGCTGGGTGCTTAGAAATAATTCAGAATTCATTTATCCCATGCGCATGTTTACATTTTTGTTGAAGCCATTTTAAAATATCCATCCTGAATTTCCTGTTAAAGATGAATATTGGTCAAGTGATGGATAGACAGGTGCATTACTAAACAGTTCCAGTTAAAGCGGTTAATTTCAAAGGAAACGTGACACTGTTTAAACGTAAGATTGTTATCTAATTGTTGAGAAAGCACTTCTACTGAAGAGTCAGGAATGCCTGTGGAATTTGGGGAATGTGGAAACTGCTAATCAGCTAAGGTGCTGTCTAACCCTACAGACGTGCCATGTTACAAGCATCAGCACTGACCTGATCATTAACATTGTCTTGAAATATCTCATTTAGCAGAGCTTCGTCTCTGAGCTTTGTTTTTTTCTCTCTTTTAAAAGAGAAAAAAAAAGTTAAATTCAAAGCCACATTACCATCACATTAAATAATTTTACAAAGAGAGACAGTCTGACTAAAACATTTATCTTATGGTTTGAACATCCTGCCTATGTTATCCATTGTTTATTAAGAATAAACTATTAGTTACTAGGGCGAGGCAGTGGCGCAGTAGGTAGTGCTGTCGCCTCACAGCAAGAAGGTCGCTGGTTCGAACCTCGGCTCAGATGGCGTTTCTGTGAGGAGTTTGCATGTTATCCCTGCTGGAAGGGCATCCGCTGCGTAAAAACTTGCTGGTTGGCGGTTCATTCCGCTGTGGCGACCCCGTGTTAATAAAGTGAATAAGCCGACAAGAAAATGAATGAATATTAGTTACTAGAAAGCCCACATTGAATCTGCGCGTGCAGAAATCAACAGATTTTTAGCTCATCATTGAGTCTATGTATTTACTTGTGTAAATGTGTGTAAATTTATATTTATCCAGTTTTTTTTTATTAATTTCACCAACATTATTGTGATATTATAATAGTAATATTTAAAATGTTCCTATGAAGTAATATGTTCTGTCTTTTAGTATATGATATGATAAACTTGCTTTGTTTATCAAATAAGTGGATCTTATTGGATTTGTATTGTAAACATTAAATAAAAGTTAAAAAGGTATTGTTTTTTATTTCATATGTTAAGTTTTTAGTTATGATATCCTTAAAATTCTCAGCAGAAATAGCAAAAAATATCCGCAGATTCTGTGTGGCCCTGGTTACTAGTTAATTAGTTAAAAGTTATTAGTAACTATTAAAGTTATGACTAATACCCTTAACGGTTTTGATTTTGATTGTGATGCAACAATGTGCACCTTTTGTAAAGCTGCTTCGAAACTATATTCATTGTGAAAAATCGCTATATAGAAAATAAACAAATTAAAAACAGTATTAACCCAATCCGGGTGTTCATTCGGTAGATGTTCTTTTGTATAAGTCAAACAACATAACTTAGTCTAACATGTCCTTACTAAAACATTTGAATGAATGAAAACATGTGGCTAGTATAAACTGCATCATATGTATTAAAACGTGTGGTTAGGCCTGTACGATTAATCGTTTTTAAACCAAAATCGCAATTTGAAAGCAAGTTTTAAAATTGTGATTATTTCGATGAGCTACCAAGCATAGTTTTGGAAAGTTCTCACAGTTCGTAAGCACCTTATGCTGAACTATGCAAAAAAAGTAACACAATCTGAATGTAAAGTTTTTATATCTCATTTTTATTTAGAACTTCTTTAACTGAATTTAAGATACGGTAGTTAATTTGTCATGGCAACCGACAACTTTATTGAAAAAAAAGGCAACAATATTTAAGATGTTTTAAATAAAAACTAGCATATAGTAGCATACTTTTGATTATGCTTGGTCTTTCTTTGGTGCTGTTAAAACCACCACATCAAACCTGTAGCTTTTTTATGAAATGGTAGTAATCGCATTTTAGGTCGCAAAACGCAATTTAGATCAGATAAATCGCAATTTGATTTTTTCTTCAAATCGTGCAGCCCTACTTGTGGTTTTGGGATAGTGACATCTATTTAGATGTAACATTATTTAGTGTGCTGTGTATATTAACGTGTTCCAAACATGCCAGACAAAATGTTTTTGCATATAATCTAATGCAACAATGAATGAAATGTTATAAGGGGTCTTCTGTGAATCATGCTGTGAAAGTGAATCCTTTGTTTGTTTGTTTGTTTGTTTGACAAAAGCACATTTAAACAGGACAGATTCTAATCTTTGAAGAAATTCAAGATGGATTATCCTTTTTTTACTTGGGGGGGGGGAGGGGGGGGGGGGGAGGGGGTTTAGTGTCTAATATGCAGTGCAAGCAAGTTGTTGTTTTATTAAATACAATTTTATAAAGTACTTGCTGTTACAGTTGTATTCCAGTTGTTTTAATCTAATTATATAAATACCTGTAATCCCCACCACTTTTAATTCTATTGACAACCTTTTTGTCAAATGTATTAAGCTGGGTTTTTTTATTATTTTTAAAGTTTATCCATTAAACTTTAATTATGGTCAAGAAATATACCACAGACAATATTTACAACAACTGTAATAATAATAATTATTATAATAATAACAACAATAACAAGTACCGAACAATATATATTATTTTAGAAAGAAAAAAACATTTCAGTACTAACTATAAAGTATGTCTTGGATTAAATTGCATTAAAAGAGTATCATCATCATCACGTTATAAAAATGAAAAGTTCAGAAACCCCTGACCAGAAGGTCTGTTTCGCAGACATGGGCAATCTGTCTTTCAGGAGGGTTTGCTGACCTCACAGGCAGAAGATAGTGTTTGGTAATTCATTACAATCGCTATGAAACTGCACACAGTATCTACCAGCAGCTCTCCATTACCATATTACTGACAGCAGAGCATGGTGGCCTTCACAGCTGACCTGCTGTCACCAGTAACACAGACGCTGAGATAATGGATCCAAGGGAAAAAAGGACATACATGTGAATAGCGCAATCCACTCAACCAAAAGAAAAGACAAGAGGGGATAAAGTCACCCAGACAATGTGCATTATCAGAAAGAAGAACAGAACATGCTAAAAGAATGAAAACAGCACTAAATGAGGGTTTTCACATTCATGGTTCAAGAATGTAAACACTTGCCTTTGCATCAAGGCTGCCAGCTCTTAGAGTGAGCTGCAAGCATGGCGCATAATGAAACACAAACACAGGAGGCCTGCAGAGAAGCAGCTAAACATCACCTTCCTGTCCAAAACAAACACACATCCCTCTACCCCCTGTTCTGGGTGCATAATAGCAAACAGAGCATCCTTTTGCACTATAATATGTGAAGCTAAAACAAATGAGAGAGAAGATAAAAGCTATTACCGTCCAGTGGGCATCCGTTAACACTCTCAGAGCTGGACTGTGAGTAGCCCATTTCTGCTCTCTGCTGAGCTCCCAGCAGGCCGTTCTTCCGGAGAGCTCGGTTACTGGGGCTGCTCAAAGGTGTGGACGTCCCATCTTTCTTTGAAAAGATTCCGCTGAAGAACCGGATGAGTTTTCTTTCCTGCCCGCTAGAACGAGAGCCCATCCCTCGAATAAAACCCTCCTTGTCCACCAAAGATTTATCCGACAGCCTGAGCAGGTCACTGTTGTCTAATGTCCGGTTCTTACCCTTCATCCTTTCCCTGCGGCCCAGTTCTGTCACAGAGTCTGTTTTGTTCAGGACTTCGCCAACATCCAAGGTGTTTCGTTTTTCTGTGGAGTCGGTCTCGGCAAAAGCCATGTTTTGCAGAACCACACCAGGTTGAGTTTGATTCCCTTCTCCATCACGGCCAATGCAGCCTGAGCTGCTGTGGTGCTTCTCTTTGGACAGAGCCCGAATACGGATGAGTTCGCCACCTGTCCAGTGGCGAAAGCTGAAACTACGCCGCAGCAGACTTGGATGTCTCTTAGTTGGAGGGGTTTGAGGTGCTGGTTTAGGTGATTTCCCATTCCCTTTAGCCAACAAAGAGGAGATGCAGCTCTCTTTAGCTGTCTTGACACTCTTGGGTTCCTCACAGGGCTCATCTGGCCACGTACTAACCGGTTCCTCTGTGCTCCTGGATGTCTTGAGGATTTTCTTTCTAATACCTGTTTTTTCTCCGTTAGCAGCAGCTGTGCTGCAGACTTTTCCATGCTCGGCATCACGTTTCAATCTGTCACTTTCATCCACATCTTCTGCTCTTTTCTCCCCTGGTGCCCCATTTTCAATGGCCTTGTTCTGTCCGTTCTCAGGCAGGATGCACGTTTGATTTAACTCCCTTTCTTTATGCGCATGTTGTGCCCTCTTTAAGAGTTTCAACCTTCCCAATTCTAGATGTCCAGTACTAAAGGTCCTGAAGTTCCTCATGTATGAGTGTGCAGAAAACTCGTCAGTCTCGTCCTCCACTTCTTTTAGTTCTTCAAGCTGAGAGCTCCGCTGCGCCTCGGAGGCTCCCTCGCGCCGGTACGCGCTCACTTTTGGGTTCTCCAATCGCCGGTGCGTCGAGCCTCCACCGTCCTGCAGGTTTTCTTTCTTCACTAATGTCAAAGATATCCGGTACACTGTTTTTCTTTGTGGCGTGCCCCGCTCCATCCTTTCCGGGTAATTACCATCAAGTAAGTACATTCTTCAGCAAACCAATCAAGTAAATGAATTCACTTCAAATATGTTTCTGATCTGATTTCAACTAAGCTGGTTATTCCCAGAGCACATAATAATAATAATAATAATAATAATAATAATAATAATAATAATAATATAATCTATTTGTTGAAGAAGTGCTTGTTTACAATATTGCTGTGTTGGCAGAAGCCTAATGTTCCTTCGCTGTCCAGGCGCGTTCGTGTGACAGGCGCGTTTGTTGCGGTTTAAGAAAAAACTTAAATATTCCCTGAAGCAGCCTAAACATCCAATGTAAACTCCGTGCTTTACTTCATGCCAAATATCCCTGGAAAGTAAATTCCGGCTTCAATTTCTGCCTCCCGCAGCGAGTCTTGTCTCTCTGAGGTGCAAATGTTATTGCAACACTGTCCTTTAAAGCAGAAGAGTGCGGTCTTCCCTATTGTGCCCGTGCATCCCCCGCCGTGCAGCCAGCTTGCTCCTTTTGCACCGGACTGTCCGTGCCTTTGTTTCCCGCCGTTGTTAGTTCACACTCTCATTCAAATGTATCATGCACAAACCGGAGCTCTCGCTTCACGGTATGCAGAACAAGAGTCCCGGGAAACGACACAGACAGCGTTAGGACCTACAGATCCATACCCGTTTCTCTTCTCTATCTGCCCCGTGTGCTCCGTATACACACAAATCATCCTGTTAAAGCCGTATGAAAACCCGGAACGGATTTCTCCAAGATTACGCATTAGCCATGTTACATACGACTTGCATCATTTACGTAAATCATACTACGTGAAAAAGGCATTAAATCAATGTAAAATGCTTAACTGAAACATGTACCAGTCAGCAGACTAAAAAGAATAACTCACATAATGCCACTGTTTTGTCATCTCATATACAGCTTGAGGTAAATATCAAAGCAGGTTATTCAAAAGTGTGCGACGTTCTGTGCACATACATCAACAAATCTACGCATAAACACGAAGCTGTTCTTCATATGACTGGAATTATCACTTAAAGTCAGCGTGTTTGCTTTGGCGTGTCAAAATAAACACTGAATATAAGCGTGAAGTGAATCTGCTCCGCTGAAAAGTCCACTCCGGGTCACAGCTCTATCCAGCGGAAACGCGGGGGTTGGGTTTCCACGTCTCTGTCCATCAAAACCTTTAAACCCACCCGGGCTCCAGGAGAAAGAAAAAACACGCTAAAATTCAATAAAGTAGCTTGTATGGGCATTTTATCGCTTCTAACTGTATATATTAAGTAAAATAAAATAACAAACTGAAAATGTATTGAGTTAAACGTTTCTTTCACTGATGTTTTGCCACTACACAAAGTCTAACTGGAGATGAAAAATTGGACAACACACCAAACAAAACTTCACTTTAGCTCTTTCTTGAGAGTCTAAGAACTGCTTTCTCACTGAGAAATTATTACAAAATAATATATAATTTTTTGTAAATATAACAAATATCATTTTTGTAAATATAACACAAATAATTACAAAAATTTGTAATGTAAAAAACAATTAAACATGACAGAATTTCATGACAAAAAATATTTACATTTTTTTATTTAGGCTACATTTTAAAGAGTATCCTCACATGCAGTTTAATTGGATTCAGCTGCAAATATGCATGACTTCTTTAGTTTAAGTAGTAATAGTTATCTTTCTTTTTATTTTGTTATATTTGTCTGAATAATCTGAATTATTTATATTCTTTAATTATAACTATACATTTCAACAGTTTACTGCTCGTCCATATGATCCACAGTTTTTGCAATGCATGTAGATTACGATGTGCCAGCATTTAACAGCAGTACACACAGACTAATCACATTACGTTTCGTAAGCAGTCTGAACACACTTGGGGTTGAGCAGCACTTTCATTTGCCCTCCGGCCCCTCTCCATCACCCCCTTCTCTCAGTAAGGAGGGAGGTGTGGGTATGGAAGATTACCCCTCTTATCTCACAGCCCAAATCCATGTGTCTTCCTTTCGCCTTCAACTCCGGCCTGACATTTGTGGAATCGTTACAGAGATTTAGGCGGATTAGAAGAGGCTCATTAGGATCCATTCTGTTCAGCTTTTCTCACCATCACCTCTCCCCCTGCCCTCCCAAATCAGCAATGAGCCCCACCTGCCTGTCAGGACCCCCTTTTCTCCAGCATCTACAGTTACACTCTTCATCTTAATAAATACAGTATGCAGATAACAGCTGTAAAACTTTTGTGGATAAAACTTAATGGTTATTAATATTGGTCACATCATCTGAATAGCTTTGATTTCGATGATTGATTTCACTTTTAATGACACAAAAATGTATTGGGATGACTGGTTTACACACAAGATCTAAAAATAATCGAAACAATCCCCCAACAAGTCCTGGCATTTTGTCAAGCATCATTTTGAGTTTAACAAATCTGACAAATTCCTGTACATTTGTATTCATGCCAGTTTTGAAAAATGTCCATTTCATTTACAGCTAAATTCCAATATCATGAAGGGAACAAAACATACATGCATTAGTGTACACTGTGATCACTGCCATCAAAGATGTTTTACACATTCTGTATGACACGTTTTTCTTTCTCCATAAAATGATTTAAGATTAACTGATATAAAGAGAAAAAAACACAAAACTGACCTAGAAACACAGGTCTGAGGCTCAATAAAATTATTCCCTATTTTGTTTTAGTATCTTTTGTTCCTGTGGTTGAGTTTAACACATGCTTATACAAAATGTTCTTACTATTATTATTGGTTTCACTTTAAAATTGAGCAAACAAGAGTTCAACTATTACATCAAAAATGCCACAAACAAATCTAATAATATTAGTTGTTTAAAAAGCATTGCCATACTCCTCGGCTTGTCATTCTGACATTAACCCTACTTTGAAATCATTTTGGGTGTGTTAAACAGTTTTTGGTTTCATGAATCTATTACTTTTGTTATAGTTTATCACGTTTTGGCTAAGCACAAAGATATGCTCATTAAATATTATTTCATATTCCCTTGTTAATCTTACAAAATTTAAATAAGGTGCAGTGCACCCAAAATATTTATGTCATTTTAAACCTGGATGAAGTTTTTTTTTCTTTAAGATCTTAGTAGATCTCCCCAAATTGTTTTTGGGGCTGCAATAACATTCGCTAAATATTTCTAAATATCAAGTTAAAATATTAGTTTGAAATCCTAAAACTAACATGCAAAAGTTATAGCCCTTTCTACAACAATTGCTGCAATCGTGCTACCTGCCTTAATTTCACAATAAATTTATCAATACAATATATTACTATGAGTTTAACAGTTAAATCTTGTAAATTACAGTGAAAATTACAGTAACGTTGTGAAATACTAACAATTTTTACAAAAGTACTTTTCCTTTTGAAAATTATCTTTTCATACAAGACAAAGTATCAGGACAGTAATATTTTTTTATTTATTTAGTTGAGAACAAATAAGATAACACATTTAATACTTCTCACTTATTGGTGTAAAAAGTAATTAAAACAATCTTTATTTATAGAGTCAATATCTCTGAAGAGGTGATATTTTTCTATTTTTATCACTACAATAGACATTCAGTGTTCATATCCGAATTCTAAATGTTACTTCAGTACTTCTGTGTTAACTTAATGAAATAGAAATATTAATGCTGTGTGATTAAAAAGACTATAGCTGTGGTGAAAAATTATTATGATTATTAATTCAGCATCTTGATTCCAAGATTTTCAAAATGCATTGTTATTCTGTCTTTAATTAATACAGCGTTTTTAACAGGAGATGGCACTATATGCTTTTCAAACAGTCATACTCCGCTTGCATACAATTACCCCTTGAACGTAAAATCATCAGTGATAAAGTTGAATTGAAGAGGTGAATTAAAATAGTTCATAGTGAGCTGTTCTCATTATTCTCATTACAAAAGGCAAATACATGACTTTGATGATTGATGATTAACCATCTACTGTTAAAAACTAAGCTCGGAATTGATACAAAATTTTGATTCACATTTTGAAACATCTCAGAATTGATAAAGAATAGAATTCTCATACGATTGTAACAGAAATTTTTTTCATCACCATGAACACTGCAAGCACCAAAACAAATAACAAAAATATGAATGTTCACTCTATGCTTAAAATCGACATCGCAAGCTTCCAACAAATAATCATTGAGGTCACATTGCACATTTTGTCAGTAAAGCCGGTTCTGTAATCGGATGTAAATCTCCAGCATCTGCTCTCAGACAGAGCAGCGTTTACTACAGTCATATTCACTTACAAACTATGGAAAAGCTATGATTTGACAGCTGTTTGCTCAGCATTTAAGTAATATATATAAACAATATAGTAATATTTGCTGGTACATTCGAGAATGAAAATTGTATTGAATTGCATATCTACAAGTATGTGAAAATACCAGCCCTCTCTCACATGGAAACATATTTTACGTACAACTTCATACAAATTAATTCATATAAAAACGTATCAATTAAAGAAAAGAAAAAAAGACACATCCCAAAATCTCACCCCTAAACTCAACCGTCACTGGGGGATGAGAAAATAATACAAAAATGTACAAATGCGAAATACAAAATACAAATTAGACACTGAATTAAAAATGAAAGTTAAGGATCACATTGGAAAATACCATATTTGTTAACATTTCATAAAGCATGTTATTAAATGTAATAATTACAACAATCTCACTTCATAGATTCAGTCTAGGTTCTGAATTAAATGCTTCTGTGAGATGCTTCAGGAACCGTAATTTTCTAGGTCTGCGATTTGCAGCATACTTGAATTATTCACATAAAAGCTCCTCCACTGGCCTTCTGAGGATATTTACTACTGATGACGGAGCCAATGGAAATTGCAATTGCGTTTTAACTCATTGTGCAACCCTAATTGTATTCTACTAATATTTTTATTGTATTTCTGCATTCTTTTGAATAAAATCATCAACACACTCACCAAATATGGTCCATCTCTTTCAAAACGGCTCTGATTGTAAAATCTCTGCACTGGCAAGACTATACAAAATCAGTTTAGGCAAACGATACACCCTCTGCGCATGACATTGACCAACTTCAAACGTGCCTCGTCCTTTCATCCCAGCCACAGAACTGTCATAAAGGAAATCAGGATTAGGAAGCAGGTACGCGCCACACGCTCTTGCTGCAACACATCGCCCTTCACATGTTCTATCATCAATGTGACTGCATGGCTTCATAGCTTCTGAATACTTCAACACAGGGAATGGAATATAAAGCAGGCACACTCTCAAATGTGTAACGCATGATACACAGAGGTAATCGCAGGAATATGAAGCATGTTTCTGTCTTCCATATCGCATTATGCTTTCTGCATATGTTTGCATGCAGCTGAATAAAAATGACGTTGGGGTAGAGTTATTTAGAACGGCATGTGGCACAGATTGCAGCTTGACTGATTGCAGAAATATTCTCCAGTGTAAGATTTCCCACTGCATGCCATGAAATGAAAGCAGCACTACAGTTATAAACAACGAGATTTAGGCTAACACGTCTTCAAAACAAGGGTTGAGTGAAACTTCTGGAAAAAGGTCTCACAGTGTATAATTCAACTGCACTGAGAAAAATTGTTCATTGGATTTACTACACTTTTTTTCAGGTAACCGGTGGCAAAGAATTTATATGGGCTGAATTTAAACAAACAAATTAAGTTAAATACTATTACATTTAATTAGTTTAAATTCAGCCTATATAAATTGTTTGCAACCACTTTCCTTAAAAAAAATTAG